CAAAGTGTCAACTCTGACTGAGTTGGCAGGAGAGCCATCGTGTGTGAGAAGAACCCAAGAGGAAGAAAGAGGAGAGGCAGGAGGCATCCAGCAGAGGAAGGAGAGAAGTGGTTGGAGGTGGTCCCACTGAGATCTGGAGGACTGTCTGTTTTCTCATATGAGGCTTTGCTACAAATAAGGTTAGGAACCAGACTAATGCAGCATCTTCACTGATCCAGCAGTTGGGGAGTAGCTTTGACAGCTTATGGGAAATAGCAGCTTTCTTAGACTTAGTTTGGAGTCTGTGAAAGGTAATGTGTACGAAAGGCTGTAAATCTAGTCAGATTGTGGTCTGGGGCACTTTTTTCATGTTCTTCTAGGGAAAAAAATTGTATGCATTTTTTTCTTCTTCATTACTGTAAGCAGAATTGCAAGGCTTATATTTCTGGGAGTCCGTTAATCAGTTGAGTTCCCATCTGGTTATACTCTTTCTGTATTGATCTTGATTGGTGCACTCCTCAGGCACTGGCAAGCTTAAATGTCAGCAGTGGGAGTAGTCCCAGCATGACTTCCAGCTTGTCAAGAAGTTCTTTATCTATTCCAGTTGTCTGTTTTTCTGGTTTCCCAAAGTGGGAATACAAACAGGATCTTCCATGTGTTACTGTTAGATATAGGACAATTCAGGTTGGAAAGGACCTCAGGAGATGTGTGGTTCAACTGCCTGCTAAATCAGGGACTGCTCTGAAGTTGAGGCAGGTTGTTTGGGGTTTTATCCCATCTGGCCTTGAAAACCTCCAAAAATGGAGACTGGATGGAGATGGTACTATATTGTACCACTGTAATGGGTCGTGTCTTCCTTCCTTCAGTGTTTCCAGAAAAAAGAACAAGCTGGTTAGGGTTTTGCTCTCAGTACTTGGCATTGAGTGTCTTTTCGTTCCTAAATTTTATGAATAGAGAAACTAAGACTGAGAACATTTAAAGAAAACGTTACTTGACCTGAAACTCTGAGTTCTTGACTTGCTTTTCCAATAAAACTATTTAACACTTAAAGATCTTTAATTCTTGGAAGGGATTCTGTTCAGTTGGGCCAACTACTACTTCCTTATATTCTTTCATCTCTTTATTTTTTGTGGTCATGCCTTGTATATTTTCATAATGCAGAATGGGAGGCATAGAGGTGTTGGAAATTAAGGCATCATTTGTGGTCTGTACAATAAGTGGCAAAAGGATTTGTCCCATAGTCATTGACCTATTCCATTCTGTCCTAAAACTCAGAGGGCAGAGGTGAAGCTGAAGGAACATGTGTTTTCATTCCTTAGTTAGAATTCCTGGGGTCGTAAGAGGAAATACAAGTTGTCTAACATTCAGGTATGCTTCGGCCTTGGAAACTTCACAAATTTCTTAATCTTTACAGTCTCAATGAGTAGATTATATTCTGCTTCTCTTCCCTCCCAGCCTCACCAAATTGTAAGACATTTGAGGAACACGGTTTAGAACACTTAATCTTAGAAAAAGAAGCAGCCATTCTTTTAGCAGTTCAACAGTGGGGTGGTTTGTATTTTTTTTACAAATTACGTAAAGGACATGGCACTAATTATTCATATATGCTACATTTTTAACATTAATTTCGGTCAGTGTATTTTTTTGTCAGAAGCTAAGGGCGTGTCCTTTCTATGGTTTCATTTGTCTTTTAGTTGTTGGTTAAATTGTGAAAGCCTATACAAATCAAAAGAAGTTGTTACTTAAAGTTGTTTCTTTAAGGATGTTTGTACAGTACTATTCTTGAATGTGTAATAATCACAATAAACATGTTTTATGAAAGTGAGTATGTCTTACCTTGTCAGGATGAGAGAATAAGATGCCAGGAACTCTTGTCTCTCCTTTATTACCAGTCTTTAAGAAAAGGCCAGGGAAAGGTGTTGGGTGTCCTTATTGTATTCCCTTTTTCTTAATAGTTTAAAACTACTTTGAAGGGGTTTAATAATAATTCTCATCTAATTCTGCATAATAACTATGTGTATGTCTAAAATGAAAAGTTATGAAGACCCCTAACTTACTGACCTGCATAATAATGCTTTTCTTTCAGATCCTGTTTGACCAAACCCAAAGATCAATTAAAGCACAGCTTCAGACTTTCGTTAAAGAGTAAGTTAGTTTTCCCTTATAATGGGAAAATTATAGATAAAATAGAATTTAAAAACATCTGATTTGAGTGTGTTGGTGAAACATCTTTCCTAAAAATGGGCAGCTGTAAACTGAGAATTGCATATTAAAGCTTGGCAAAAATCACCCCAAATCAGTGAGGCTTTAGATCCACCTGCAGGAATGTTGAAACATCTTAATTACATGTTGTCATTTGTCTAAACTTAGGGGAAAAAGGTGCTTACCAAAGTTTTTCCCCAGTAAGCATGAGATGCATTTATTTAATTTTCAATTTTTTCCTTTCCTCCGAAGAGAAAGACAGAGAAGGCTTCGATTGTATTTTGTATGATTTCTACTTGATCCAAGCATTTATTGAGGAATATAAACCCAAAGAAACTAGCTGTAACAGTCACGAGCATGGTCTGTCTAGTATATCTTTAAACACTTTTTTCATACTTTGGAATTCATGTTATCCATCTTTCCTTTTGCTTTAGAGATATTAGGAAATTTAAGGATGCAAAGAAACAGTTTGAAAAAGTTAGTGAAGAAAAAGAGAATGCTCTAGTAAAAAATGCCCAAGTTCAAAGAAATAAGCAACACGAAGTAGAGGAAGCAACCAATATTTTGACTGCAACACGGAAATGTTTTCGACACATAGCTCTGGATTATGTTCTTCAGGTAAGTGCAGCAATAAATATTTTTCATAAATCATATATATGTGTGTGTTTAGAAATCTGTCCTTTAGAAGTTCTTATTGTAAGCTTCTCAGAAGCTGTGGAGATTCAGTGAAAAAGGAATAGCTTTGCAAATGATTTCTTAATGAAATCCGAGTAAAATTAATTTACTTGATGAATTCTTATTGCTTAATGATTCAGTATTCAGTGCAGTTGCTGTAATGACATAGTTGACTTTTCAATTTGAACATTAATTTTGAAAAAGCAGTATTTGCCTGATACTTGACTAAATGTATTAATGAATTGGCTATGTTGTAGTTCCTTATATATTTGAAGTAAAAACTGTAACCTAGCCTCAGAAATACAAATTACCTGAATAATTCTGATATAAGATGTTGGCTACTACTACAATTTCAGTTGTTTGCTTTGGGTTTTATTTAACAAATCCTACTTGTCTAGAAGCCTCGGAGTTTGGCATTGTGCCATAAGGAAAATCAAGAACACAACTACTCTTTCTTTTTAGTGCAGATCTCCTATAGAGTGTTAAGAGGTGTTCTTTGTCCTACTACTTTGAATCCTGTCATAGAATAATAAATTTTCTGTTTATACTTATGATTCATCTGTCTCATAGTTACACACAACAACAGCAAAACCGGATTATTGCAACTCAGATGGTACGAGGGGGTGGGGGCTCCTAAATGGGTCTGGGGTTATCCTGTGATCAAACACAGAACAACCCTTTAAAATTATGTTAGTTTTATATCGGACGCTAACATCCTGATTTGTGACAGTTCAGTCACTTACTTAAAGCTTAATTTACTGTTTTTTAAATTGCGTGTATTACCTGTAAAATTGAAGTGGAATTGATCTGATCAGCCCCGGCACGTGCATGGATATGGTGGTCAGCATTCAGCACTGAACTCCTGCCTTTTGAACACGAAGGACAAAATTCATTTTGATGTTTAAAAAGACATATGAATTATGTACCACTTGATTATTTGTATGAACATCAAATAGCAGGGAGGGGGAAGGCGGGCAGTCATTACTATAGGTCAGTTCCTTGCGTGTGCATTGAACTGCAGATTGTTTGCCTCCTGGAATTTGTGTGTTCCAAGTATTGAGTAGTTCCTGTAATAAAGATGCATTTAAAGTAACAGGGAAAAGTTTCAGCATCTTTTAATTAGTGCTGCAAAAAGGAATTCAGCTTTAGGAATTCTTTTCTACTTGGGTGACTCTTTTCTTCTGGAAAAGTGACTTCACAACTATGGTCTCTTTATAGCTTTATTGGCTTTAAACTGTATTTTGAAACCTTTGTTTTCCCTTTATTTTTTTTGCCGTGCAAGTTGAGGGTTTTTGTCCAAACAAATCTAAATTATTTTTGCTGCAGAAGGTTTTCCAAAATACTGAGTATTTAAGTATAGAAGTACAATCTGGATTTGATTATAGCTTCAGTAAGTTTATTTCTTTTGCTGGGATTTTAAACTGACAGAGGTGTTAAGTTACAAAATCATGCATGTTTCTGCTAAATGGGGCTTTTGAAGTAAAATCTGTAGTTCTGCCCTAAAGAGTAGGGGACAAAGAGGATAGAGGAAGTAGGTGAATGTGAAAAATAAGTTTTGTTCTATATAAAGTGAAATTCAAGTTCTAGGACAACACCATTGGTCAGTGACTTCAGCTAGCTTAAAAGTGAAAGTATGTATGAAAAGTTACTTATTGAAGCTATTATGATTGTGCTTGTTTCAGAGGCTGGTGCTATATCCCAGTTTTAGGACATTTCTGACATCAGCCCGAGGGGAAAATAAACGTGCTGCCATCCTTTCCTCTCCGCTGGCAGGAGACGGCAGTGGCGCTGAGTGCAGCTTCTTTACAAAGTTGGTGGGCTGGGTTAGCTCATACTGTCAGAAAGGGTATTTGAAACATGTTGAACTCAATCTCTTGTAAATGGGTACCACCTTCCCTTGCTTTTAATGTGTATTATATTATTTTGGGGTAACATGTGAAGTCTTACATATTCCCTTCTAATATAAGAGTTGTGACCACGACTGTGAAATTCTAGCTTCGCAAGCCTTTTCTGATTGCATCACTTTAATATTACGACAAAGCTAGCATGCATCTTCTTTTAAGAGTGCTTTGTGAAGTCTGATATTGAGTTATGTTCTTCCAATGTTTTAAGCTTTGATATGATTAGTTGGAAGTAATTTGAAGTTTACTTCTGTGTGGAAAATTTGCAAGTAAAATAAAGTTGCTTGTTTGTTTTTTCTAGATCAATGTTCTTCAATCTAAAAGGAGAGCAGAAATCTTAAAATCGGTAAGATAAACTTAATTTTCTCTATAGAAAAGATTTAAGTACACCTGAAATTAAAAAAGTGACTGCAAAGGAGTATGTTAAAAATTTGGTTCTTTTACCCATCAAAACATTAGCAGTACGTTTGGCACTTTGGTGATGTTCAGTTTGGCCTTTAGTATAACTGGATATAGGTGCTTAACAGTTTTTGGCAATCCTTTTTGATCAGTTTTGAATGCTTTAAGATTTTCACTGCTGTTGACTCTTAGCTATGTGTTCCATGTTTAAAATTGAACTTTGTCTGCCAAGAATTCTGCTGTTTGGGTTCTGCTATGTTTATAAACAGTAAGTGCTTCTTATAATCTATTCTAAGATGGATTCAGCTCTTTCCACAAAACTGGTATTTTTAATGTAAATAGCATATTGTAATAGCAAATATACAATATACTTTAGTATGGTATCTGCTAAATTAATGTACAGCTATATCTGCATGCTAGTTTGCTTCAGATTGTATCCCTTTGCTGCTTCATATTATCTTTGTAAAAAGTTTACTGAAGTAGAGACTGCCAAATTAAATGGTGCTCTTTCAAAGGTCTACAGGTGCACTCCCATAATTTCCCTAATTCTTTTAAGCAGCAAAAACTTCAGCTGAATCACAGTTTTATAGCTGCTTACCATTCTGTCCTGCATCTTCCCACCTTGTTGTTGTTTTGTTTTTTTTTTTTTAAGGCTGGACAGTCTTCTCAGCTATTTTCTTAAAGGTTATTGTTTTGGATCATTAATAAATATATTCTGTAGCTCCTCTCTATTTTATGTGTCCTAGTTAAACAGGAGATAGAAGTTTCAGGTGACATGAATTAGAAGTAATTTCCTGCCCTTATGTAGATTTGTCTTGTTAATGGGTTTAATCCTATTAACTAATTTCTGAGATTTTTGGCTTGCTTCTTTGCTCCCTTTTACCTTGCATGTTTATATATAACCTTGGAAGCTCTACAAGATATTGATGTAAAATTGGCAGGACACAAGAGAGCAGAAGTTAACCCTGGAATTGTATTTTCAGTTTGTTCATGTGGATTAGTTAAGTGGTATATTTGTGTGTTATCTGATAAATATTTATCCTTTTTAAAAATATATACTTTTTCCTTCTAGATGTTATCGTTTATGTATGCCCATCTGGCTTTTTTCCATCAAGGCTATGACCTTTTTAGTGAACTTGAGCCCTACATGAAAGATCTTGGTGCACAGGTAACAAATTACTTTAAAAATTTATAACTATATGCTGGAATGGATGGAAAACTGATCTATGCGTACATATCGGATACATGATAGATTTATTTAACAAAAAGGGAACTCTGGTGTGATAGAGGCAAAGCGTAAAAATACACTGTAAGTGGTCTGAATGAAAATAGTTAGAAACTGAAAGTTGTTTGCTAAAATTAATACTTCCTTTAGGATTTACATACTTAAACATGGCCATGTAGTGCCATTTGAGATATTGTATGGTATTCAGGACACTAGATTATTTGTTTTAAAAAATTTTCTTTATTACCCATGTTACAAATATATGTAAGAATAAAAAGCAGATTAGGTTTTTTCACTTCTGTACATTATTTACTGTATGAATTACGCAGTGGGCTAAAAATAAAATTGACTTTTAGCAACTTAGACCATAAAACAGAAGTTTTAATGAGTTCTCCAAAGCTGAGTTCATACCTTGACTCCTTCTTGCCCAGTTTCATTGTTTAAGGTTAAGAACACGCCATTGCAACTTCTGGGTTTTCATTGAGGGACTCATGAAAAGGATAGATGGACCACAGCCAGCTGCACACCAGAGACATTGACAAAGGTTATGCAAAATAGATTAAGAACATACAATATTCAACTGAAGATCTGTCTGTGGTGCAGGAAGAAGACCCAGCAGTGGTTTGACTTGTTTTCAGTGCAAGCTGAATTGGCCTGGAAATACTCGTGCAACATTTGGGGTTTTTTTTGCCTCTCTTAAGGACTTGCAACGACTGCACTGATGCAAAACCCTCTATTGCCGCTTCCCAACCTGATCCACAAAGCAAAGCCAACCCAAATTCCAAGTGTCTATTCAGATACAAAAGCAAATAAATGACAGCAAACATTTATTTGGATTCATCTCAAGTAGATGTGTCATTGAATGTCTAATTGTTCAGAGCTGGTTATTCCTGCCACAGTGCTGTTGTCATCTATGCCCCTCAACCTGCTTCTGTGTCTGCAGTGAAGCAGATTGGGAACTGTAGAAAATAACTCCAGCAATCAAATGTCTAAATCGTTAGTTTTCTGCTAGACTAGTCCCCGGTCAGGTTACTGGGGCTGTTAATTATTTGTACAAACACATGTCAGGAAAGTATGTGCTTGTGTGTGTGGTGACGGAGCTGAAATGAGAGAAAGGCTGCTTGAGCTGGCACTGCCATCAAGGGGAGTGCCTGTACAGCTACAGCCCTGTTTGCTGTAATAGCACCACTTGAAAGGTTCAGGTGTACATGACTCTCCTTAGTTTTGCCTTTTGTTCTTTTACATCCTTCCATTTTGGGTTGCAGTTGTTGAACTGTAGGGTTTTGATAGTATGGAGTGTGCGTCCTGTACCTCTGCAGAAGAGGGGATGGAGAAAGGAGTTGGTAGTGGTTTGTGCTACCAGCTAGGCTTTAATGTTTCCATGTCATTGAGATTATTTGAGCAAGGAACACAAGGTTACTTTTGAATGGCTGGTCATCCTTTTGCTTCATCTGGTAAGGAGCATTGTGTAACATTCATTTTCGTGCTGGTATCTTAGCAACTGAAGGAGTTAAATTTAGAAAATCCGAAGCTGAGAATGTTTAAAATACATTGCATTTGGAGCAAGGATAGACTGAAGACCCTAAAGTTGTACAGCTTGCTGAATTATTCTTTTGTGGCAGACCTTGGCATTTAAGTAGTGGATATTTTTCATGACAGGAGCAGACGTGTAAATAGCTTATGCAAGTTTAACTGTTAATGGCTTCGCAGTTGGTATTAGTTGAAGCTTCTGCCTTTAACAGGTCAGAGAGATGGCATGTTGTGACATAACAAAACAGGGATTTGCTAGATTTTTCTGAAAATACGGTCAGATTCTTTCTGTTGGTAAGTGAGTTTTCATTCCCAAGTAAATCTTGTATATGACCTTAATTACAAGGCTTAACAGCACCTTAAGTATTAAAATTGGAGTGATTTTATATAACATAGTTATAATTTTTAATTATTTTGTTTTGCATTTTCAAAGTAACTGGTTTACATGACGATAGGATAGAGGAATTTTGCTTTCTGGATATTTTAGGTCAGGGTACAGTTACTTGTGAATCAGATCATTGTAGGGGAATCTTTAATGGCACACAAGCATAATATAAGCTTTTGTGTGGAAATTATGGCATTTGGCACTCTTCAGGTGAAATGTGGTATTAGTTTAAAAAGAAAACCTACTTGAATTGTCATTCTGAGATGACTATTCAAAAAGGTAAACATTTTAGTCTGGTTTAATTCTCTACAGAATACAACTTTTAGCACTATGTTTATAAACATACATTTACCAGTAAATGCAGTATTTTGAAAACCCTAATTTTTTGAAGACTACCCAGTAGTGGTATAATGACTGGGATTTTGATTGTGTGATTTGCTACAATTCTTGATCGATGTATGCTGTTGGTCTTTAGTTTAAGACTGTTGATGTGCTGCTCACCTGAGTGAAAAGAAGAAATTCTGGTCTGAGCTTGGAAACTGGAATGATGCGATGTTGTCTTGATAGTAAAAAAGTAAATGATGAAATGAGCTGCTGTTAAGAACTTTGTTACGCTGTGGTAATTGTATCCTCAAACGCTTGTATTTAAGATAAATTAGAGGTAATTGTCCTAATCTGAGTGCGGCTACCTTCTGTTTCATCTGGCAGGGTAGGAAGAAGAGTTTCTTGGGAGCCATGTGCAGATTACTGAATCTGAGATTTTAGTGAGAAACTTGATTCCTGTAAAGCCTTGAGCAGTTCTCATCTTTATCACAGAAGAACGGGTTTCCTGGAGTTCTTGGTGCAAAACAGTCTTTGAGCACAAAGGCAGCCCAGTCTGTTCAGAGGCTCCTCTATCATTTCTCAGACATACAGCTACATAAATATGATGTCTGGATACTTCAGCCTTTAATGTGTTTCTGTTCACAAATACCTGTAAGGTGTGAAAGTGCTGGTATAGCCATTTCAGACATAGAAGAAGCCAGAGAGAAAAGAGTTAATAAAAGTAACAGAGCATGGAATTGGATCCAGATGTCCCAGCTATCTGGTGGCTCCTTAATGGTTGGAGACTGTCTAGCACAAGGGTGTAAGAGCCAGTTAGTGTCCCTTTCTTCTCTCATTTGTATCATTTCAAGCAGGGGAAATACAACATAGGGAAATGACAGAGTTGGCAGGGATTCTCACTTGTGGTTATGAGAGTGGGTGGAGGCCATTCTATTTGTGTGTGAATTAGAGGTTCTGTTAGTCATACTGTGCCCTCTGCCACGTGACTGCCTTCAGCTGGAACACTGGTGTTGCACACTGTTCCTGGCTGCCTTGTTCTAGGGCTGGACTAGAATGAGGTCTGTCCCACAGATGTAAAGCTGGGGGCTGTACTACTGTCTTCAGTATTGCATCTGCATGGTTATTGAGTAAGATGCTGTAACTGGGGTTAATGGCAGGCTTGTATTACAGGCTAGATAAAGGAGGAGTTCATCAGATTCCATAGCACATCACATAAGTACCAGGTCTTTCAGGCAGCATCTGCTCCTCCACCATATTTCTTAAACATCAAAGTCCGATGTCCTCCCCACCCCCCCAAAAAAAACCCTACCAACAAAAACAACCAAACACCCCCCCC